GCTAGGCCCCTCCTGCTCCCGCAACTAGAGCAGGAATATCTGTGCTCTCCTCCCTCCTGGAACCCTCATTTATACAGCCCTAGCTGGGCCCTAACTGTCTATCTCTACCTCAGCTGTGGCCGACATGCTCTCGGCCTTCTCCTAAGGATGGGCTTCATCCTTAAAGGGCCAGTGCCCCTGTCAACCGCTCCCAAAAGCCTGCATCCTGCCTCATAGTGGGTCAGGAGATTCATAGTTTGGACACTACCCAATTTAAGATTAAAATGTGTGAAACCATGAAGCTGACGAATATGAAAATCCTGTGAGTGGGCAATGGACCAACAAGAAGCATGAATTGGTTAGAGCCCCGCTCCTGAGGCTGGCACATGTGACAGAGAGGTGCAGGTATCGCTTTTTTTCTCTGTAGGGCCACATTTCATTTAGCAGGTCAGTGTGGTGATGTCCAGGGATCAGAATGTCTTGGCAGAGTCCAGTCTTGTTGACCGCAGTGCGTCCAGACTACCGCGCTGTGCCGCCAGACAGCTGATAGCACAGCACGACGGCCATTTTGATGTAAACGAAGTGGTGATTATTTAAATTGCCGCTTCATTCTCCTATGTCTGGTCAACTCATCTACAAGGCTCCGTCGACAGGGCCATGTCGTCCAGACACACCCAAAGGGGGTATCTCACCATGGCAGCTTCTCCCCATTCCCAAAGCACCTCCTGGAGCCAGAGCCTGATCTGGGGGCTGGAATGAGCTGCCAATGCTACAGGTCTGGGGAGGGAAGGCACCTCTGGTCCGGGCAGCCATTGTGCCTGGTGGGGCCATGTAACGGGGCAGGTGGCTGGTGGAAGAAGTGAGGCTGGTGTCCGTCTGCGCTCAGCCTGGGCAGCTTGCCAAGGTGCAGCCTGGGGAACAGTTGGGCAGAGCCATAATCAGCTATGGAGCAAGGGCCCCTCTAGACACTGATCCCCCGACAGGTTTATCTGCGGCGCTGTTTGCCGTACCTGGCTTTGCAGGATGGAACGTCAAACACAGCTTTGCCCCCCGAGTTCTTCTGAAATGACACCTCTGATGCTGGGGAAGCCAGGAACCCCCCTCCCACTGCACCCCTGTGCCTGAGCTGTGTCGTGTCTGCAGGGTCCCTGAGCAGCCAGAGAGCAGACCGCAGGGACAGGCCATTCCCAGCGGGATCTGCCATGTGCCTGGGGCTCAGCGTGAGGCCAGATGGCCAGTCCATGGACCTTCCACTAAGGGAGAGGCCCTTAGCAGTGGGAGCCCCGAAGGGGAACGTGGCTGTGGGGGGCTGAGCTTGCTGTGCGGGGACTTGAGGAGGCCAAACTGACCCACTGACGCTCTGGTCTCACAAATGGGGGCCTGCATCAGTCGAGCCCGGTCCTGAGCTTTGGAGCTCTTAGGTGCAGCTTGGTGGGGACTGGAGACACCTGTAGACTCGCAGGCTGGCGCTGCAGGGGAGCATTAGAGAGAGTGGCCCCACATACTGAGGGGACACGCGGTGGCTGTGGGACTTAGGAGGAGGCAGCCCCCGATGTAGCTGTGGATACGGAAGGCCTGATGTCAGTTGATTGTGCCCAGCAGGCCCGGGAGAACTCTGTGTCCATGTGGCTGTAGCAGTCAGAGGTGTGTGATGCTGCGGCGGGGGCCTGTCAGGGCTATTCTCCACTCTGACACTCTGGCTACATCTACACTGGCATGATTTTCCGGAAATGCTTTAAATGGAAAAAAAAGTTTTCCGTTAAAAGCATTTTCAGAAAAGCGCATCAAGATTGGTAGGACGCTTTTCTGCAAAAGCACTTTTTGCGGAAATCGTCCGTTGCCAATCTAGACGCGGTTTTGCACAAAAAAGCCACTATCGCCATTTTAGCCATCGGGGCTTTTTTGTGGAAAACAGTACTGTGCTGTCTACGCTGGTCCTTTTGGAGGGCTTTTGCCTGAACGGGAGCAGCACAGTATTTCCGCAAGAACACTGACAATCTTACATGAGATCGTCAGTGTTCTTGAGGAAATTCAAGCAGCCAGCGTAGACAGCTGGCAAGTTTTTCCGCAAAAGCAGATGATTTTGCGGAAAAACTTGCCAGTCTAGACACAGCCTCTGAGTGCAGAAGGTGAAGGCGGAAAAGACTTTACATATACCTTGCTGCTACAATCACTGGATACACAAACTTCCCCCAGAATCACAATACTTAGATTTGGGAGGAGGGGTTGCTCCCACCATCAAGTGATTTTTATCCGTAAAACCAGGATGAACTCTTGCACCTATCCCCAGGATACCCCAAGAAAAAAGATAAAGAGAGAGGTTAGAAATAACCCCACTCCAGCCAGGTTCCCACTGTTAAGAAGAGCTATTGGAACCCGGCTGGAATGGGTTTTTTTCTTTTACCTCCTTCTCTCTCTCTTTTTTAAGCTCTCTTGCTTTTCAAGTTCATCCTAGCACTGTGGATCCAGCAGACGTAGGGGGCAGATTGAGCAAAGTCAGAAAACTCTTCCAAGGGAGCCCTTTGCCAAAGCAGCCAAGCATGGCAGCAGGTGAGGAGGCCTTGGCAGCTCTCCCTCACCCTACATAAACAAGGCCCAAATCACCAGACCTGGGTGGTGGGCGGCCCAACTGGCATTTCTCAAAGGGTAGGGCCCAGGCCAGCCTGATGCCAGGCTCTGGGATGAGTGTCATGTTACCGAATTTGAGGGAAGCAGACAGATCACGGCTGCACCAATAGGAGGGGGTGTTGGCCCCAAAAATGGTATAAAAGCTATTGGAACCTGGCTGGAATGGGTTTTTTTCTTTTACCTCCTTCTCTCTCTCTTTTTTAAGCTCTCTTGCTTTTCAAGTTCATCCTAGCACTGTGGATCCAGCAGACGTAGGGGGCAGATTGAGCAAAGTCAGAAAACTCTTCCAAGGGAGCCCTTTGCCAAAGCAGCCAAGCATGGCAGCAGGTGAGGAGGCCTTGGCAGATTGGAACCTGGCTGGAATGGGTTTTTTTCTTTTACCTCCTTCTCTCTCTCTTTTTTAAGCTCTCTTGCTTTTCAAGTTCATCCTAGCACTGTGGATCCAGCAGACGTAGGGGGCAGATTGAGCAAAGTCAGAAAACTCTTCCAAGGGAGCCCTTTGCCAAAGCAGCCAAGCATGGCAGCAGGTGAGGAGGCCTTGGCAGCTCTCCCTCACCCTACATAAACAAGGCCCAAATCACCAGACCTGGGTGGTGGGCGGCCCAACTGGCATTTCTCAAAGGGTAGGGCCCAGGCCAGCCTGATGCCAGGCTCTGGGATGAGTGTCATGTTACCGAATTTGAGGGAAGCAGACAGATCACGGCTGCACCAATAGGAGGGGGTGTTGGCCCCAAAAATGGTATTAGAAGCTTACTGTCTGCTGATCCTGTGTATGTTGTTCATGCCATTGTATAATGCCTGTGTGTGAAATTATAAGCGTGTACTTTGTAGGGATACTGAATATTTCCCTGCATGTGGTTGAGCATTGGGCAGAGCCCGGCCTATGGATATGCTAATTAGCGAGGCCCTGTGGGACAATGGCACTCAATGGACCAAGGACACACCTAAAGAATGAGGGCTGACACCTAAGGGCTGCCAGCAGGGAACACAGGGATAGGCCGCTGGCCAGGTGATCTACTGCAGCCAAGAAGAGACCAGGAAGGATGTATAAAGAGGCCATGTGGTCAACCCCATCTTGGGACTCAGCTCAGCACTTCATCCCAGATGCAGCAGTGCAGGGATCGAAGAGCCGGAAAGAACTGTGGACCCATCCTAACCTAGGATGTGCAACAAGGACTTTTAAGCCAGCAGCTGTAACATCTCTGCTAGAGCCTGCATCGAGACCTGGGAGATTCGATGCGTGTAATGTATGATTCTTTAGCAACCTTACTATCATGCTCTTCTTTCTGGTAGCAATAATCCTTTAGATGTTAGATGCTAAAAGATTGGCTCAGCATGATTTGTGGGTACAATCCGGAGGGTAAATTGATAGGACTGGTTTGTGGCCAGTTTGGAGAGGTCACCAGTCTGGGGGCTGTAAGGAGCCCCAGATTTGAGCAATTTGCCCTGAGCAGACGCCCTCTGCTGTGCCCAGACCAGCTCGGTCTGTCACAATGAGGCAACAGCTGGCACTGTTGGGGCATCGGATTAATGGCTGTGTGCGGGGGAGTGAATCAAAGGGCAGAGCTGGAGACACTGAAGGGCAGGACTGGGAGTTTCTGTATTGTATAGCTAGAGCCAGGGGAGTTCTCACTTCCGTGCTCCCCCACTGGGTGCTGGTTTCCCCTTCCCCTCTAACCCAGCTCTGCTTGTGTCATACACACCCGGTGCTTGGAGCTGGGAGGTCCTTGCTCTTCAAGTGCCCCCAGCGGAGCTATTTAGTGATTCTAGAAATGAGGTGGGGCAGCTCCCTTGGGTGATTTTCAAAAGGAAGCCCTGAATATCTGACCTGACACTTGTTGCTGCAGACACCAAGCTCCGGACCAGGTCACCCCCCCAGGCCACTGTGAGTTTCAGCCCTTCACTGGTGGGACACAAAGCCGACACTTTCTGGGAGCAAACAGCCCCATTACAGGGAACATTTTATTTTAAAAGCTGGTGGATAAATGTACTATCACAAGTTTAAAGCTGCTGTTTGTCCGGATCAGGAGAAGGGAAATGAGCTGAGGAGAGCAGGCTGACCCGGGCACAGATGTGATGGGGGGTGGAGAGGGACAGGGTGAGAGGGAGATCGGGGTGATGTCTCTGGCAGTTTGGAGAGAGGATGACACATTGCAGATGGAGGGGTTAGAGTGGCAATACACAGAGGAAGTTGCCCCAAGGGTCCACTGAGGAGGGCAGGATATGGGGTTCAGAAGTGTAGGACAGACCCTGTAAGGCTGGGCATGGGGCTATGGGGGAGGGGCAAGGTCTGTGAGGCTGGAGGTGGGAGATGTTAGTGGTTCCACTTGGCCTACCAGTGATCTCCAGATTTGTCTGCCCTTCCCATGTGACCTGTTTGTGCGGTCCAGGAGAAGGGAAATGAGCTGAGGAGAGCAGGCTGACCCGGGCACAGATGTGATGGGGGGTGGAGAGGGACAGGGTGAGAGGGAGATCGGGGTGATGTCTCTGGCAGTTTGGAGAGAGGATGACACATTGCAGATGGAGGGGTTAGAGTGGCAATACACAGAGGAAGTTGCCCCAAGGGAAGCAGGGGAGAAGGAGTGGAGCAGATGCAGGGGTAGGTGGACACTTAGCTTGATTGGCTGCAAGATCATTGAGTCACTACTGGGGTGTCTGGCAGAGGAAGCGAGCTGGAGCAGTGTAGGGGAAGTGGGGTGGAGGCAGTGTAGGGGAAGTGGGGTGCAGAGTAGGGTCCACCAAGGAGGGCAGGATATGGGGTTCAGAAGTGTAGGACAGACCCTGTAAGGCTGGGCATGGGGCTATGGGGGAAGGGCAAGGTCTGTGAGGCTGGAGGTGGGAGATGTTCGTGGTTCCACTTGGCTTAACAGTGATCCCCAGACTTGTCTGCCCTTCCCATGTGAGCTGCCCTGGGACACTAGGCTGGGGACTCACCCGCTGCCCTGGGGGTTAGCGTGGGGGCTCTGTTCAGTACTGCATTGTGGAGGATGAAGTAGCACAGGCTGGGCTGGCGCTGAATGCCCTGTCGCTCCATGAGCTTCTGCATATGGATGTTCTCCACCAGTACGTTGCCGTAGATGGGGTATCCTAGTGACTGCAGCCGCTTGGCCATCACGTTAGTCAGCACCGTACTGTAGCCGCGTCCCCGGTGCTGGGGCAGAGTGTAGGCAGTCCCCAGGGCACCAAACGCATCTGCAGCCAACCAGCTGACAGGGCAGCCGGGGGCAGCCAGGAGGAGGCACTGGGGAAGTGGCGAATCAGGCTGGCCAGGTTCTTCCTGCTCCTCTCGTTACCCCCAAAGAGCCACGTTTCATTCAGCAGGTCGACATGGGAGACATCCAGGGATGAGAGCCTCACAGCCGGGTCCAGCCTAGGGGGGCACAGAGCATCAGGGCAGAGCCCCAAGGCTCAGGGATGGGAACCCCCAGGTGAAGAGACTGGGCCGAAAGTCATGAGGTCTTTAAAAAAATACGATGCTGCATTGCTGGTCTCCCTTGAGAGCTGAACTCCCCTGTCCCCAACCCTGCCAGTGCTCTATGATTTATTATGGTGATAGCCACCCCCCATCTCCTCGCCATCGTATCTTTCTGCACCATCCCTTCTGCCCCTGCACAGGCACCCTCGGCCCTTTCTTTCTCCCCTCCCTGCCCTGTGGGGGCTGCTGAGGCCTCCCCTTTGCCCTTACTAGATGTTCCTGTGGTGGGGGAGCAGGCACATTGTGCTGTCTCTTCACTCACAGCAGGGGAGGGGAAGGAGGGACAGGAACTGCCCTGGGATGCTGAGGAATTTCTGCTCCCATGAGAAGGTGTCCCGCTACTGCAGGAAGGAGAGGGGCAGGGACCTCTCACTGCAGCAGCTTTGATTGGCTCCTCTGCACGACATTGTGTGGGAGAGGCAGCCAATCAGACTGGGCTGCCCCACTCCAACCCCAGGTGGGGCAATTCCTTTGATGGGCTTTGGAAATCGGGCTCAAACCAGGCCAGACTTAGGGGGCTTCAGAGGGGTTCATGAGAGAACCAAACAGAGAGGTGAGCGGTTGCCTTTGGGGGGATGGAAATTGCAGGGCGTTTCTCCCAAGGGGGGTTAGTTCTCATCTGGCCCGAGCACAGGGAGATCTGCTGGCCCAGGGGTGGGGAATGGGACATGGGCGGGGCTTATCCCCTCTTACCCACACGGTGGCAGTGCTGCCCAATGTCCCCTCTTCCTAGAATGGGGCATTTCCTCCTCTTGAGAGAGACCCTCCCCGCAACTCCCCAGTTCACCCCCAGGTACCTCCCTGGGTCTAGGGTGAAAATCCAAGCTCTGAACGGGCTGAGGGCGGGGCAGACTCCTCTCTAGCCTGGGCCAGGCACAATGTGGTGCAGGAATGGGGGGAGCTTGGCCACTCAGTGCCCAGGCGCTGCTGAGAGAGACCCTCCCCGCAACTCCCCAATTCACCCCCAGGTACCTCCCTGGGTCTTGGGTGAAAATCCAAGCTCTGAATGGGCTGAGGGCAGGGCAGACTCCTCTCTAGCCTGGGCCAGGCACAATGTGGTGCAGGAATGGGGGGAGCTTGGCCACTATTGGTGGCCCAGAAGCCATTTGGATGTGGGTCTCCTGGAGGAGGGTAGAGATCCTGTGCAGGCGCTGAAGGGATCTCCCCAGTCCATGGCTACTCTCCCCAGAACCTGCGGGCTCCGTGCCAGTCCCACTGGGAATCTCTGGGTACCAACAGGACCCCAGGGCCCCAGGCTACAAATGGGGAACAGCCAGCCAGAGCTTGAACATCCCAGTGCCCTGCTGGCCAGTGCCCCTGCCTCTCAGACTGTTTCCTGCTCCAACATCCCCTCTCCTCTCCTCGCTGTGGGGCCCAGCGACACAAGCAGACACTGACTGGATCTCGGGCAAGGAGCTGGGATCCGAGAGGAAGTAGGTGAAGCAGCGGAGCACGTCCAGCTTGGCCCCTTTGTTCCTGGCGATGTCCCTGGAGGATTCGTACAGCCCGTCATGGAGCCCTGCAGGGGGCAGCCATGGGCCATGAGCTTGGGGACAGGGAGTGAAGGGTGATGTGAAAAGGGCCCATGTATGTGGGGAGCCCAGCCTGGCACAGGGGGCAGGAGTCTGAACTTCTAAACCCACCTGCCCCAGGCCTCAGGGAAGGGGATGTGGTCAGCTGAACCAATCTGAGCCCATATCTGGCAAAGGGCTGCCCCAAGTATGCCAGCCCCCCATACTGCTCTTGGGAACATCCTTAGAATTTTGGGGGAACTGTGGGTTCGAGGCTGGCAAGATCCTGGGGTTGGGAACAGGACAGCACAGATACTCAGTTGCTGGGGGGGCTCTTCCCAGTCCATCGCTTTTGCGGGTTATGAGAAAAGGGCCCATACATGTGGGGAGCCCAGCCTGGCTCAGGGGGGCAGGGGTCTGAGCTACCAAATCCACCTGCCCCAGGCTTGGGGTTTGGAGCAGGACAGGACAGATGCTCAGTATCTGGGGGGCTCTCCCCGGTGGAGTGGGCCCCACGTTACCGTGGATGCAGAAGGCCTGGTCCCAGTTGATGGCGCTGCCCAGCAGGGCCCGGCAGGCGCCCAGGTCCCGGTAGTGCACTGCATACGTGTTGGTGTAGAAATCAGAGTCGTCCGATGCCACCTGCCGGGGGGACACATGGAGCCAAAAGGGGAACTCCTATGGAATAACTGATCTGCCTGCCCCCCTTTGCAATCTTGGCCCCTTCTCCGCGGTTCCCTAGAGGTGAAGGGCTGCACATCTCAATCCCAGCCCCCAAGCCAGCCTTCCCCCGAGGGCCCCAGGGGAGTAAAGATCTAAATCAAATTCCTGTCCCCTCCCTGAGCCAACCTGTCTCCCATTCTAGGGCCCCTACAGAGGAAACACCCCAGGTCTCATTCCATGCTGTTCCCGCAGGTCAGGTGGTGGGGCTGCACCTCTCTGTGTGGCCGGATAAGGACAGCTTTGAATTCGGGCCATGAATCCATCAGCACCTCGTGTCCAGCCAGGTTCCCGCGGTTTATGTTCATCACGGCACCATGGACCTGTGAGAGACAGAGACAATCCTGCGCTCCCAGAACTGGAAGGCACCTCGAGGGGTCATTAAGCCCAGTCCCCTTCACTCATGCCAGGATCGAGCACCACTTGGAGGTGTTGGGGGGTCAGAGGCAGGGCAGCAGTTCCAGCTTTTACAGCTCTGTCAGGAGCCTCCCGATGTTTACTGAGGGGATTCAGCATCTTGTGAGCCACTGCACATTGGGGGAGATTTTGCCTTTCTGCAAAACGACCTTTGTCTTCCATTATTACCTCTGGGGCTGACACCACAGGCTGCGCTTAGTGAAGATGGTCGCCACCCATGTTCCCTGTAAGCTGTGCATTTGTGCAGCCACTCAGGAGTAATTTAAATGCTTCCCAGATGGTTAACAGAGAGCCCACAGCTAGGGGCTTGTTTCTACAGGTGGTGACATTCCCACATGCCTCAGTGCACATAGAAATAATGTTACAGTTGGATAGAAAAAATCTGCGCTTGGAAAAGACTAGAGGGCACATTGGCCGCCACCTCACAATGATTTCAGTGGGCCAAGTCCAGGGAAGCTGGTTGTCCCAGGCTCTGAGAGCCAGAGATGGGGGATATGGGGATCGTGAATAGCAGCGCGGAGAAGAGGCTGTGAGGGGTGCGGAGGGACAGTGGAAGGCACTAGGGGTTGGGCTGAAGGACAAAGAGGGAAAAGGGGGATGGAGACATGGGCCGCGCTGTTTCTAGCCACCCTGGGTTCACTCTCCTAATTTTTGGGTCAGACCCTGCTGTGTGGCCCCTGGGCTTATATCACAGGGGAGACCCTGAGTGTGTGTGAGCGAAGGGACAAATGGCCTGTGACGCCCCCTCCCCTCCCGCCTCCACACACACACATTTGAACCATGTGAAGGGGAAGGGAGCCAGAGTGACCAGCTTGCTAAGTGTTTGGCACTGAATCCGCCTGTGCAATGATTGCTTCATATGGCAAGAATCTACCGTATGATTGACTGGGGGGGACGTCCCGCTGGCTATGCTGGGTGAGCAGCAGAAATAGGTTCTGGGTTTGGGTTTTGGGAGACAGGAGATGTGGGTGGGGATGGGGTAATCGAAAGAGCAGCCAGAGCGGGAGAGGGTCCTGCCTGCAGCCAGCCAATCCCTGCCCCATCCCTGGCAAGAGAGAACTTTCTGCCCCACTCCCATCCCTGTCCCAGGAGGTGCCGCATGGGGGGAAGGCAGGTTCATTTCACCAGCAGAGTCTCAGGCAGGCTCCTCCGCAATGTCCCCTCCAGCAGCTGCAGCTTGGAGGAGCAGCTCAGGAGCAGCATCTCCGGTGGGGACGGGCCCTCGGCAGCTTCCAGCAATGACTGCGCAGGGGACGCCCTGGGAGGCAGGGAGACATCAGTTCCCTGCAACTTCCCTGCTCCCACCTCCCTGGAGACTCACAGGGTGTCTGCAGCCTCCCAGACCTGCCCAAATAGCAAATCCTATTGGCTGACCCCACCATAACAAACCAGGCAGATGCAGCTCCTGTGCCTGGGTGTTGTTCACACTATTGCACCAATGGCTGTTTTCTCAGAGCAGCATTTCCTGAGGGTTTTCCTCTCCCCTACGGATCAGAACTTCCCTGCAGTTAATCCTGGAGCTTTTCACTTTAAAAACCCCGTTACATGAGAATTTGCACAAGTGTCACTTGGACGTTCCCAGACCCAAGCAGTGGTGGGTCAGGACCTCGACTGGACAATTCCCTTTGAAGAGAGAACAAACCTTCCCACTATTTCCCCCACTTTTTTGAGCTGTGTTTGCCTGGGTCAGGACCCTCCCATAACGCACCAGTCTGGGTGCAGCGCCCTGCTCACCATAGACCCTACAACAATAATACGTCCTGTGTGGCCCCAGGGCAGGACTAGGCAGGCCTAGGGTGGCCCCAGTAGCTCCCACTCACCTGGGCAGTCTTAGCGCTGGGATAAGGTGCAGCCCCAAAGAAGTTGGAGATACAGAGAGCTGGAGGAGCAGAGAGGTTCCTGCTGGACAGCAGCTGGTTCTGTCCCTGCTGGTCTCTCTCTTGGGGGCTGTTGTAATATTTTATCCCTGAGCAAATGAACCATTAACAGAGTCTGTGCCTGGCTGGGAGCCGGGACAGTCACGTCCCTGCCGTAGCAAGGCAGGGTCAGGCTCCTTCCATGGGCAGAGGGGGAGAGGTGATTTCCTGGGGCCGGTGGAAAGGAATTCTGAGGAGTCATGAGCACGGCCAGGAGTGGGGCGCAGGCGACCAGCTCAGCTGGCTCCTCTTGAATCCTGACCCACGTCCTCGGCGATCTCAGCTCTGGGCTCCCGCATGGCAGCTCCTGCCTCACTCTGTCTCTCTTAAACAGAAGCCTTCGCTATCGTAACCGTAGCCAACCTGGTGCTCAGCTGGCGTATTGTATGAAATCATTCAGCAGCTGCTTTGCTGTCTCCAGATCTCCGGCCTGGGACAATCCTGCAAGTACGGGGCCCCTGAGCAGCGTGACGGGTCCATGGATCTCGGTGGGTTGGCATCCGCAGGAGTGCACCCATGTCGATGATGCAGCTTGGGACAATAGCTGCATACACCTCAGTGGGTGCTCCCAGCCCCCCTCATCTGACCAGTACTCAGGAGCCTGTGCCATGCACCGAGCCTGCCTGTTCTCAGCTCCTCACCCTATTCTAGTGGTGTGATTTAGGCGCATGCTGCCAGAACGTCTGCGCTCTGCTCCCTGCCAGGGGCACAAGGCTTCTCTAGATGTTGGCTCGCACTGGGGGCAGGGAAAGTAGATCAGACATCCCCTAGAGGGCAGGGTCCCCCAGATCCCAGCACACGAGGGGAGACAAATGTTCAGACACCCTGTAAAGGGCCATGGAACTGCAGATTCTGGCACCTGCATACAAGCATGGAGAGCGGCTCATATCCCCCTTAAGGTAGAGGGACCACAGGATTCTGAGTGGGGGCTAAGACACCCCTAAAGTCTAGAACATCCCAGTCCCGATCTCGGTGGGTTGGCATCCGCAGGAGTGCACCCATGTCGATGATGCAGCTTGGGACAATAGCTGCATACACCTCAGTGGGTGCTCCCAGCCCCCCTCATCTGACCAGTACTCAGGAGCCTGTGCCATGCACCGAGCCTGCCTGTTCTCAGCTCCTCACCCTATTCTAGTGGTGTGATTTAGGCGCATGCTGCCAGAACGTCTGCGCTCTGCTCCCTGCCAGGGGCACAAGGCTTCTCTAGATGTTGGCTCGCACTGGGGGCAGGGAAAGTAGATCAGACATCCCCTAGAGGGCAGGGTCCCCCAGATCCCAGCACACGAGGGGAGACAAATGTTCAGACACCCCTGTAAAGGGACATGGAACTGCAGATTCTGGCACCTGCATACAAGCATGGAGAGCGGCTCACATCCCCCTTAAGGTAGAGGGACCAGAGGATTCTGAATGGAGCCTCAGACACCCCTAAAGTCTAGAACATCCCAGTCCCAGAGCACATATTAGAAGAGAGAATGTGGCTGATACTCCCGCCCCTTCCTTACCACTATCATATCACCCCTCCCGATATCCAACTCCCTCACCTGAACCCCCTAATGCCTCTGATCTCCACCTATTCCCCAACGTTTGCTTAAGCCTCAGATTGCTGTACCCCTATTCCCTCTGCCTGCTAATTCCCCCACCCTGCAAGCCCTCACTCACGTTTCTAGATTAAGCATTGCCTGCGTAATTTTCTGTCCTGCAGGTACAGTTTCCCCAAAGGATAAGATTTAAACTCCTTTTAGCAGGGGCAGTATGTCACAGCGGGAACAGCTCATTCTCAGACTTCTGCCAAGGGTCTGTGGTGACCTTACAGCCATTTAGCCACCATGGGGCCGTAACACCTCTGAGCCACAGGGCGCTATGGCATAAACTAGTATTGGATGGGAGGTTATTAGAGTTGCTCGGCTGTCTGAGAACCAAGGACGGGACAGTGAAGAGGAACTAGGACACAGGACACCATGGCTGTGTCTAGACTGGCAAGTTTTTCTGCAAAACTAATTGCTTTTGCAGAAAAGTTTGTCAGCTGTCTACACTGGTCTCTTGAATTTCTGCAAGAACACTGATGATCTCATGTAAGAAATCAGTGCTTCTTTCAGAAATATTATGCTGCTCCCGTTTGGGCAAAAGTTCTTTGGCGCAAAAGCTTTTGCGCAAAAAGGCCAGTGTAGACAGCAGAGATTTGTTCTGCGCAAAAAATCCCAGATCATGAAAATGGCGATCGGGGCTTTTTTGCGTTGGCACGGACGCTTTTCCGCTAAAAGTGCTTTTGCAGAAAAGCGTCCGTGCCAATCTAGACGCTCTGTTCCGAAAATGCTTTTAACGGAAAACTTTTCTGTTAAAAGCATTTGCGGAAAATCATGCCAGTCTAGACGTAGCCCCAGTGCTTGGGAACTGGGAGGTGCTTGCTCTTCAAGTGCCCCCAGCGAAGCTATTTAGTGATTCTAGAAATGAGGTGGGGCAGCTCCCTTGGGTGATTTTCAAAAGGAAACCCTGAATTTCTGACCTGACACTTGTTGCTGCAGAAACCAAACTCCAGACCAGGTTACCCCCCACCCCAGGCCACTGTGAGTTTCAGCCCTTCACTGGTGGGACACAAAGCCGACACTTTCTGGGAGCAAACAGCCCCTTTTCAAGGGCAATTTTATCTTAAAAGCTGGTGGATAAATGCGGAACTCTTGTGTGGCCCTAGCTGTGATTCTGGTGCCCCCCTCACATACATGGTCCCAGCCGTGCCAGGGAGCAAGGTCGAGAAACACACAAAGGTGTCTGCAACAATCAGTTTAATTGTAGCTGGGATCACAAATCAGGAAATGGTTCCTGCTATCAGCCAATGAGAGACAGTGGGCGGAGTTAATCAGTTGTCTTGGTGGTGCTGAATCTACCTAGTCTGGGTCGCTTTTGAGTGTAACCTCAGGCCAGGAGTCTTGGGGGATTGTGAAGTTTGATTTGAGGATAATCAACATCACTGGGAGCTATTTAAACCTTGAGTTACTGCAACAGGCTGTCCCTTGAGGGAGTCCTTACTAAGGGAACAGTCTCAGGCTGGCTGCTATCGAGGGGGAAGAACCACATGGATCCCGTGCTAATGTGTTATGGCCAGAACTCAAAGGTCAAGGAGGCCGATTTTGTAGCCCCTACGTCCCTGTTTAAAGCTGCTGTTTGTGCGGTCCAGGAGAAGGGAAATGAGCTGAGGAGAGCAGGCTGACCGGGGCAGAGATGTGCTGGGGGATGGAGAGGGACAGGGTGAGAGGGAGATCGGGGTGATGTCTCTGGCAGTTTGGAGAGAGGATGACACATTGCAGATGGAGGGGTTAGAGTGGCCGTGTCTGGGCACAGCTGAGGGCGTCCGCTCAGGGCGAATTGCTCAAATCCGGGGCTCCTTACAGCCCCCCTGACTGGTGACCTCTCCAAATAAGCCACAAACCAGTCCCACAGAGCGCTTCAGCTGCCTGCCTGAAGCCTCACGAGCAAAACCCCTCCGACGCCCCAGCAATCTTCGTGCCCCAGATGGCCCCGGGCCTCATACGCAGGTGGGGGGGTCCTAGCACCCAATCCCACCTACCCCGAACAAGTTCTGTTCGGTTCCAAGAAACCAGCCACAGATCCCTGGTCAATTTACCCTCTGGACCTTACCCACAAATCACGCTGGGCCAGTCCTTTAGAATATATATCTAAAGGTTTATTATTACAATAAAGAAAAGCATGAGAGTAAGGTTATTAAAGTACAGTACGTTACATGCATCGAATCTCCCAGTTCTCGATGCAGGCTCTAGCAGAGATGTTACAGCTGCTGGCTTAAAAGTCCTTGTTGCGCATCCTAGGATCAGGATGGGACCACAGTTCTTTCCGGCTCTTCGATCCCTGCACTGCTGCCTCTGGGATGAAGTGCTGGGCTGAGTACCAAAATGGAGTCGACCACATGGACTCTTTATACATCCTCCCTGATCTCTTCTTGGCTGCAGCAGGTCACCTGGCCAGCGGTCTATCCCTGTGTTCCCTGCTGGCAGCCCTCAGGTGTCAGCCCTCATTCTTTAGGTGTGTCCTTGGTCCATTGAGTGCCATTGTCCCACAGGGCCTCGCTAATTAGCATGTCCATAGGCCGGGCTCTGCCCAGTGCTCAACCACATGCAGAGAAATATTCAGTA